TTTCTGCGATACTTCATCGGTACGCACTTATACTGTGAGCAGAACCGGTATCTGCACTTTTCGTCAGAAAAACGACTTTCAACATTCTTAATCACTTACTATATTTATTTAAGCCTTCCCATAATTATTAGGGTCAATTATGGAATTATCTCATTAATCTCATAATTATTTAATTAAATTTCTTAATTAACGGTGCGGGTTCTTACACCGTCTCACTACTCCCACTGCGTGACAGATGTCTGGTTTAACGTCCAACATGATATGCATGAGTCTACCTTTGCCAAAGTATAAGATATCCTGCTCATGCATTCTTCCTTCTTAGGAGTCTTTGGTTACTCCTTAGGAAGATGAATTCTACATCTGAGAATTTATAATTCTTCTCTTAGAATTCTCATGTTGAATTTTGGCAAGAGTTTTGTCAATGTAAGTAGCCTGAGGTGATGCCAACAACTTATTCTTCCGGTCTCATAAGAGTTTTAAACCCAGAATATAATTGGCTTCTCCAGTACTTCCATACCAAAACACCAACTTAGCCAACTTTTTATGCTTGATATTGCCTCCACGTTGTTTCCAAAAAGGAGCATATCATCTACATAAAGTACCAGAAAAGCTACTGTCTTCCGTTGGATCCTTTAGATACAAATACACATCATTCGTCAAGTTTCTCTCAAAATCAAAATTTTGATAACCTGATCAAAATTGATGTTCCAAGACCTGGATGCTTGCTTAATTCTATGAAATAGACTTTCACAACTTGCATACCATGTGTTCCTACTCATTTGCTATAAACCGCTTTGGTTGTTGTATGTACATATTCTGACATCCAACTCCAAAAATCAAATCTCATAATTGAGACTTATAGCAACTAAGAGAATCTGGATAGACTCAAGCATGGCGTCTGGCAAAAATTGCCTCCAAGCTAGCTTTGATGGTTTTTCTAAGAACCCGCACCGTTAATTAAGGAATTTAACTTTATAATTATGAGATAATTGATATAATTCCGTAATTTACCCTAATAATTATGATAAGGCTTGTATAATTATAGAAAGTAATTTATAATGTTGAAAGTCGCTTTTCTGACGAAAAGTGCAGATACCGGTTCTGCTCCACAGGATAAGTGTGTACCGATGAAGTATCTCAGAAAATTATAATAAGTGTGGGAATATTCCAAGAATATCATTTAAGACTGTGATTTCAAGTTTGAAGTCAAAATAATGAGAACTGGTGCCAGAACTGATACTGGCTAAGTAAAAGCGCGTACTAGAAAGGTGCTGCGAAAAAAAATATATGACAAATCTTAGAAAAATGAATAGGTTCAGATTCCAAAGTTTGGGATTAAAATGATATGCGCAGCAATTAGCGCTAATACAGTGCGTTTAAAACTTAATGTGCCTATAAATAAGCTTGGCTCTAAACCCTAGGCCATAATTTTGAAGGCTACGTGAGTGTCTTTGGCAGCTGACCAGCCTTCTTCTGTTCCTTTGCTCCCTCCCTTGAAAACTCACCAAAGAAACCATCTTTCTTCCTTTTCTCTCCACCAAAACACTATAGCTTGTGAGAGTTGGTCTTGTGAGAGTGTGGAGTGTCTCATTTCTGAGATTGTAGCCTCTGGGGTGAGGTGGAGTTGCTGTCTTGGAGCTGTTTACTTGGCGTTTGAGGTGGTGTGGGCCTTGTTCATACCATTGGAGGCTCCAAGAAGCCATTTTGATGGTGAAAGGTCGCCTTTGGTGTTAATCCGTGGCTTGGCAAAGTAAGTATTGTGGTGTAGTGTAGAGGACCCCTTGTGTGTCTCATATTCGAAGTTTAAGTCACGTGAGGTATACGATGATCACCTTTTTGTCATTTTCATGATTTAAGCTTGTTTAATCCATTAAAGAGTAAAACTTGGACCATTTAAGTAAATGACTGTGTTTCTGAGTCTTAAACATGATAATGAACATCTGTCTACGACTCCAAATCGAGTTTGGACCCTTAAAATTGGACTTATATAGAAGAATGCTCGAGTTTCTGCATTCTGTCTGATAAGTATTCGAATACTTTTCGTGTAGTATTCGAATACTTATCCCTTGGTAGTCGAATACTCCTTGGAAGAGTATTGGAATACTGATAAACCTTTGGTTTACCATATTTTTAGGCTAAATTATATGAGAAATATATCATAGATTGCATGAAATTCAAGGTTTTAAGACATTTAAGTCATAAGATAGGAAATTGAGCTAACGTTTTGAGAATATTTGCGTTTTGAAGGTAAAACCATAAGAATTGGTGCTAAAAGTGCTAAAGAAATCATGACGGAGAAGTAACGACTCAATATGGATCAAAGGAAACTAAAATATTACATCATCTCATTCATTCTTTTAATTCTGAATTTTCATAATTGCATGAATTTAATTGTTTTTAATTTTAAGTTCTTTGAATCACAACTCTCTTCATCTAAATTCACAATTCTCTCAAACCCAACTTTTGATTGTCCAACTAAGACGCAATTAGCGAACTAGTGCTTGAAATTCTGATCCTCGTGGGATCGATCTCGTACTCAGTACATTTTATTACTTTCACGATCGGTGTACTTGCCGAGTCGCAACAAGTTTTTGGCGCCGTTGCCGGGGATCGAATTATTCAACATTAGAAGTAACTAATTAAGTTTTAGATTGGACGTTTATTTTTCTGCACTTTAAGCATACTATTAAAAACATTTTCTGCATACAAAAATTCTGCATGTTTTTCTTCATATTTATATTTTCTGCAAATTTCTGTTTTCTTTTTTTTTGCGTTTTCTATTTTTTCTGCACATCTTTTCAATCTTAGTTTATTCGAGGTACTTCTAACCCGCGAACCTTGCAGTTTGATCCTGAGATAAAAAAGACAGAAAGAAAACTTAGGAAGGACGCAAAAGCAAAGAAAGCGAAAGAAACAAAAACAGCATCAACTTCGACAGAACCAAAGAAAGATCCAAAGGAGGAACCAATGGCAGAAAACAACAATCAAATCGTTCGAAGGACGTTGGGAGATTACATGACCCCAGCTCGAGCTCCACAAACTGCGAGCATTGTTAGACCCAACATAGAGGCTAACAACTTTGAACTGAAGCCAACATTACTGCAACTGATTCAAAAAGAACAGTTCGCTGGAGGAAGCATAGAGAACCCCTATTGTCATCTTGATGACTTTTTGCTTTATTGTGATACATTAAAAGTAAACGGAGTTCGTCGTGATGCTATATTGCTCAGGCTATTCCCATGCTCACTGAAGGATGAAGCAAGGGATTGGTTGCAGTCTCAACCTGAAGGAAGCATAACCAGTTGGGATGACTTAGCCGCGAAATTCTTGGCCAGATTTTTCTCAGCTTCAAAGATGGCTAGGCTCCAGGCGGAGATCACAACTTTTGAACAAAAAGAAAGCGAATCTTTGTACGAGGCTTGGACACGATTCAAGGGATTACTCAGGAAGTGTCCTCAACACGGAATTTTGAAGCATGGGAGAAGGCAAGAATCTTTTTCCAAGGAATGACATCCAACACAAGAACATTGGTAAATGCCGCTTCAGGAGGCTCATTGAAAACAAAAACTCCTGAGGAAGCACTTGAATTGTTGGAATCATTAGCATCTCAAGAATTTGACAATGCTCCTGCTCCAGTTGCACCAAGAAGATTAGGGATCATGAAGCTTGAAGACTATGATGCACTCTTAGCCCAGAATGAACAAATGCTACAAATGTACAAGAAACAACAAGAACAATTAGATGCTCTTAATAAGAAATTTAATCTTTCTCAAGTTTCTTCTATTTCTAATTCTAACGTTAAATGTGATGTTAGGGAATGATGGTCCTCAAGTTGGGAACACCGACCAAAATGCCACTGTTCACCAACTTTTTTACCTAAATGCCACGCGAACATTGTTATTCCCCAATCTGCCACGGGGGCAAGTTCGCTACCCCGTGTAGCGAACTCGGTTTGCTGACGTGTCACATTTCTAGTGGTTAACAAGTACCAAGTAAAAAAAAAAAGTATGAAGTTCGCTACATTGGGTAGCGAACTTGGTTAAAACCAAGTTTGCTATCCCGTGTAGCGAACTTGGTGTCCACTAAAAACGTGACACGTCAGCAAATCGAGTTCGGTACACCGGGTAGCGAACTTGCCCCCGTGGCAGATTGAGAAATAACACTGTTCGCGTGGCATTTAGATAAAAAAATTGGTGAACAGTGGCATTTTGGTCACGGTTCCCCTCAAGTTGGGCATTTGCCTTCGAGTAAAAGCCCCCCCTTTTTTTGGGTCCATGAATAATAGGCTTAGAAATGTTGGGCACATTTTAAATTGTTCCCCAGGCTCAATATTAATGGGTTATCTATTCCTCAAATGGGTCATCTATCCCCATTTTAAAATGAGACCGAGCGTGAGCATATTGCTGAATCGGATCACATAATCACAATTCCATATCCAGAGTGCCAATAAAAACAAAACAATAAACTGACCCCACAAGCCGAACAAAGCAGAAACTAATCACTAAAATATGTCAAGAGCAACGGAGAAAGCAAAAACCGACTTGATGATCAAAAGACAAACACAAAATGATACTTGTTCAAAGTCAATTGGTCATATAAAGAGAATAAATAACACTAAGGGCATGAAACTGGATTGAGAAACATAGATTGCGTATTGTTTATGTTTTTTGAAAATATGAAACTTCTTACGCTCTATAATATTCTAATACTCTATATTGGCCAGCATACACTTAAAAATTGATTCATAGCCGCTATCACAGATTATCATCACAGTCCAAAAGCACACTATATTTTTTAAGGCAATTTTCGGGACCAGGTAGGTTTCTATTATCTTTTTCCTCCAAGTATTTATAGGCCTATCCCGTGATTGCAAAGAATGAAGTGTTCTCTTGTAGTGTTTGCTTTTGATATTCTTCTTCTTCTTCTTGTGTTTGCAGACATAGGCTTGAAAACCATTCTCTTTATCCCTCAGCTCAGAGACCAAGACTTCTCTCATAGATTGCAATGGCAATGGAGTTTCAACCCCACCACCAACTCAATGTCATTTTTCTTCCATATCCAGCCCCTGGCCATATGAACCCCATGATAGACACAGCAAGGCTATTTGCCAAGTATGGTGTTAGTGTTACCATTATCACTACCCATGCTAATGCTTTGATATTCCAAAAAGCCATAGACAATGATTTTAGCAATGGATATCCCATCAGAACTCAACTTATCCAATTCCCTGCAGCCCAAGTTGGTCTCCCTGATGGGTTTGAAAACATCAAAGATGGCAATTCCCCAGAAATACTTGGTAAAATTACTATGGGAATATTGCTGCTCAAAGATCAAATTGAGCTTCAGTTTCAGAATCTGCAACCGGATTGTATAGTGACTGATATGTCTTATCCTTGGACAGTGGAATCTGCTGCAAAACTTGGTATTCCAAGGCTTTACTATTACTGCTCAAGCTACTTCTCAACCTGTGCCATGTATTCTGTCCGTAAGCATAAACCTTATGAAAACTTAGTCTCCGATACTCAGAAGTTTACAATTCCTGGTTTACCTCATAGCATAGAGATGACCACTCGGCAGCTTGAAGAATGGGTAAGGCCTGATAGTGTTAAAGAAGTCAGAGAATCTTTTGATGCAATATTTGAATCAGAGGGCAGAAGCTATGGGGCACTGTACCATAGTTTTCAAGAACTTGAAAGTGAATATGTGCAACTTCATGAGAGCATAAAGGGGATCAGATCTTGGAGTGTAGGACCAGTTTCAGCTTGGATTAATAAGGATGGTGGACAGAGCCAAGAACTTGCACTTGCAAAAGAGCCAGAGCCAGAGTGGCTAAATTGGCTTAACTCAAAGCAAAATGAGTCTGTGTTATATGTATGTTTTGGAAGCCTAACCAGACTCTCTCATGCTCAGCTTGTTGAACTTGCTCATGGACTTGAAAATTCTGGTCATTATTTTATCTTGGTAATTAGGAAAATAGATGGAGATGAAGATGGAAACAGTTTCCTGCAAGAATTTGAGCACAGGATGAAAGAGAGCAACAAGGGCTACATCATACGGAATTGGGCACCACAGTTGCTCATATTGGACCACCCTGCCATAGGAGGAATTGTGACTCATTGTGGTTGGACCTCCATTCTTGAAAGCATGAGTGCTGGTTTGCCAATGATCACATGGCCAATGTTTGCAGAGCAATTTTACAATGAGAAATTGCTAGTTGATGTCTTGAAGATTGGAGTCCCAGTGGGATCAAAAGAAAACAATTTTTGGGTCAGTATGGGTGAGGATCCAATGGTGAGAAGGGAAGAGATCACTGAGGCTGTGGTACGGTTCATGGGAAGAGAAGGAGAGAGCACAGAAATGAGGAAGAGAGCAAGAAAACTTGGTGATGCTGCGAAGAAGACTATAGAGGAAGGTGGATCCTCTTACAACAACTTGATGCAGTTGATAGATGAGCTAAAATCATTGAAGATATGCAAGATCACTTGAGAATAAAAAACTAGATAATTGAAATAGAGGAGAACTAGCCTTGGTGCTTCACTAGGTTGTGTAGCTGATGAATGTTTTGAATAAGATGAAACATCATGCATGGTTTAAATTTGAATATTTTAAGCGAATATAAAGGTCTTCGGATGAATAAAATTTCGTTTCTGCTTTAGTCTGTCTAATAATTAAGATATATCACAGGTGTAATTAATGGGGCATGTTATTCTTTTATTAAATATTGTTTCATTAGTTTGCTTGTATGATGTATCTAACGATTCACATATATTATAAACCATAGTCGTTTGGTATAAATAAGATTCACGGCCAAGAATAATATAACTTATCAGGATGTAAATGATCTTTACCCCTTATCAATTTAACATTATATAATTTTGGTGTGCCATATATGATGTACCATTGTGTCAAGTACGTATACATAGGTGAGAAAGCTTTAAAAATTAAGTGATCAAAACTTCATCTCTCGTCCATGAACATTCAAAGCCATAGGAAACGACCAAAAATGTATTTTAAAAATACAATAAAGTATAGAGTCGCAACTAATTTTATAAAAATTAGAAAAAAATTAAAAATCTTTATTTTATGAAATGGTGTTCAAAAATTGATATCCAGATTAAGGAGTTTGATTGAATATACATGGAAAATGATGAAAACTTAATTTTATAACACCACTAATATTTTTTTTAAAAAAAATACTTATTTGAAATTAATTATGTAAATTATTGATAAAATTTAAAATATTTGCTTTACTCGAATAAAATAAAATTGAAGATAATAATAACTTAAAAACTAATCACTAATTCAAACGAATCTAAGGAAAACAAACCGAAGTTATTCAACTCCAACATGTTATTTAATAGGTCACTGACTCCATTTTCGTTTTCTGTTCAAGTCTGAATTTGAGGAGTTGTTGCTGAGCTTTATGAGCCATTCTTGCTGTGTTTTAAGTTTGGGTAAGTGTTATCAACCTTTGGTCATGAGTTTAATTGGTTAAAGTTAGTGCCTTGGCATATTTAAAGAGTTAAACAAGTGAGTAATCGATGTATGAACATGTTTATACTTAAAAATAAATCCTTGGACGTGTTTAAGTGTTAAAAGTTGAACTTTTGAAGGATATCTTCACGAAATGCAGAAACTGCATTCTGTCGTGAAATATCCGGATATGGGGATCTGGATATCCGGATATATTGATATCCGGATATAGGCAGAGAGATATCCGGATATGTCCCCGATAAATATACGGATATTCTGGTATTTCGAAGAACAGTAGCTGCACTGTTCATACAATAGGCTATTGGGGGTTTGTGGACTCTAGATTGATGAAGTGGAACTTCTGTAATAATTGAACTAAGTCAGAATCTTGTGATTAAGGGCTTATGGCTTGGTGAGAAGCCTTACGACGTAAAACGTAATGAAAAGGCGTTGTCTTTATGTTGTATGCTTGTAGAGTTTGATTATTGATATATTATTGGTCCATAACAGATTGTGATATTGCTGTGTTTGGACTTTGAGCTTGTGTGGGCTCTTAGCTTGGATAGCTAGCTTGCAAGGTAAGCTTTCGTGTCCTCGGTTTAGCCATTGTTGGTTCCACCATGTCCCATGGGGGTTATGCAAGTGCCTTTATTATATGCATGTGGTGTTCCACCTATACGGTAAGCCTGAGTATGTAGTACATACAAGATGGTGAGGCTATGGGTGAGGTGCAAGCGATGTTCCTTGTACTAACTGTAGGTAATAGACGTATTCCTGCATTTCTCTTGCCAGTAGAATAGTTATAACACACATGACATGAATATCTGTTGCACTGCATAGTTTTGGAACTTATATTGTATTACTGCTTTTAGAACTTATATTGCACTTGTAAGTGAGCTTGGGGTGGAAGATCCTTGAGGACCCCTTGTCTTACTGAGATTTCTTGTTTAGAGATCTCACCCCACGTTTGAGGACGCTTATTTCAGGTTCAGGTAAACCAGGGGTTGAGACCTCTAGTGGCAGGAGGCCAGAGCTTAGCTGATAGATGATACATGTTTATGCTGCTTGTGCTGATATGCTGTTATGATTGGATGCTGGATCCTGTTTACTGTCTTATGCTTTTAGCTTCAGTTTATGGATTTATATATGGAGACTTTGTTGGTTATGTTGTTATTGGTGAGCATGGAGATTGTCGATGCCACCTAGACTGGATTATGTCTTGTTTTTTTTGGAGTGTAATAATGTATCAGGATATTGTCTGGACTACGTGTTGTAGATCTGTGACTTTAGATACTCACTTAATTTATATATTGAGGTATACCAGTTAGATGTCTATTTGCAATTCACATACAGGCGATATTTTATGAAATTAATTAAGTAATCAACTTGGTTAAGTATAATGACGTCATAATTGAATTAAAGAAAAAGTTATTCCGCATTTTAATTAAGCATGGCTTAATACGATGACATGTTAACAAACCGGGTATACACGGGGTGTTACATTTTATGGTATCAGAGCAATGGTTCGAGGGAAAAGCCTGTATGTATTCCAATAACTAGGATGCTTGGTTATGTCTGTCTCGTGTGTCGTTCCGTTGAGTGTTATTACGATAATGCATATGTGATCACATTGCGTGGGCCTGATCAACTCATAATTTGTGTAACTTATGCAGAGGCATGGTAATACCCAGGAGAACCCGCGAGACTGCTGAGGGTCAACTCGACCCGATCCTGACTGCATTAGCTGAGATGCAGGAGGCCACTAGATTGGCCATCCTGGCGATGATGGACGCCGTTCGGGAGGCGAACCGGAAGGCCATGGAGGATGTTTTGGAGGCGAATCGACGGGCGTATATGACCAAGCTTCGGGTCGTATTGGAGGAGACGAGAACTGGTTGTCATGACGGCCAACATCCTCCGCTGCCATCACCTCCATCCCCTTACCGATGTGGGAGTGGCGTTAGAGGGATGCTAGTTAGGAATGAATCCTCGATGCTTGAGTGCATCCCATGTGGAGAGACTTATAAGGGTACTTGCGTTCAAGGACAGAGAGTATGTTTCAATTGTGGCCAGCCAGGCCACCTTATCAAATGGTGTGCTTCCAAAACGGAGTGAGCTGCAGGAATACACGGTGTTTCAGTAGGTCCCATAGAAAAGACAGCTGGATCGACATCTAAGGACTTCGAGAAAATTCGTGTGAGCCACGAGGCAAAGAAAATTAAAGGATCTGAGGCTAAGAGAAACAGTGGCTCCATTTCCTGGAAGGGCAGGAAGTTTGGAGGCAGAGGTAAAGGGAAGCAGCTTCAAGTCAAACAGCTTTGCAACAAATTCAAGAGGTCTATTTCTCTGGTAGACAACTTGGCTAGACCGTTGGTTATCCCGCAGTGTGTAGGTTGCGGAAATGAGCATTTAGGATGATGTGCTACTGGAGAGTTGTTATGTCACAAATGCGGGAAGAGTGGCCATATTGTCAAGGATTGTTATAATTCAGTTGTTTGGGCCGTAGCAGTTCAGACAGCCCCCCTTCAGATGTTCCCTGGGAGTGCAACGAGACCTTCTACTCCCAGATGCTTGGGATGTGGGAAGCTTCATCTGGGATTGTGTGCTACCGGCCATATTATCTGTTTCCAGTGTGGCCAGGAGGGCCACTATGCTAGAGAGTGTCTGTCGTCTGTGGCGAGGGTTGCAGCAGTTCAGACGGCTCCTTTTCATATGTTTCCTGCACCATCAAAGATTGATCGTGTTTACACCCTGGATCATCAGCAATCGGACAGAGCTCCGAACCTTGTCAGAGGTACTGTTATCATTGGTGGTCATCAGTTGATGTTTTATTTGACTCCGGGAATATGCATTCTTTCGTTGCTACCCCGATTGCCTTGGGGCTTGAGTTGCCCATGTATTTGCTTTCTCCACTGTTGCGAGTGACCACCGCCACCGGAGAAAAGTGTGTGACCTCCACTGTTCACCGTGATGTAGCGTTTCAGTGGGATGGCCATGAGTTCTCGGTAGATCTGATAGGATTGCCGATGGCCAACTTGGAGATTATTCTGAGCATGGATTGGTTGTCCAGAAATTGTGTGAGGATTAACTGTGTGCCAAGCGTGTGGTGATGTCTCCGTGTAACTCCCCAGCCAGTTCCTTGCCATACATTTCGTTGTTGCAGGCTAGGAGAGCCTTGAGAGCAGGGGCATTCGGTTATGTCATGTTGGGAGGTTTGGTGAGTGGGGCACAGGAGGATATCGCTGGCATTCCTGTGGTGAGGGAATTCCTCGAGGTGTTTCCTGAGGAGATTCCTGAGTTTCCGCCACAGAGGGAGATAGAGTTCTCCATAGATTTGTTGCCTGGTGTGGGGTCTATTTCGTTAGCCCCATATCAGATGTCGTCACCGGAGTTGGCGGAGTCGAGGAAGCACATTGAAGATCTTTCGGCGAAAGACTTCATTCGACCGAGCGTGTCTCGAGGAAGAGCCCTGGTCATTTTGTTGTAAGGTATGATACCTTACACCATTACTCAATCGTGATGATGCCTTGTTGAAAATGTGAAATTCTCTTCCAAGAAGACTAACTGTGTGACACTTGGGCTTTGTGGCTAGGCCACGCGTGGTTTTGTATTTACGAGGCAGTGCTTGTGCAATTCGTTGTGAGTTGAGTGGTCTCCATGACTCTAGGATCTTATGTTGATGATTGTCATGTTTCATAAGTAGTTGGCATGTCAACACTACGAGTAGTGTCAAGCACGGTATAAGTATGATAAACTGTGGTAATGTATCAATGTTATTTCACCCCTAATGGACTCTCAATTTTGCAGATGCCATGGAGATTGAGGTATACTATTGTATTAAGCTTTTGATTTAGTATGTTATTGAAATTGAAAATTCTGCAAGTGTACGCGAACTAAGGTACGTTACCATGTGAACGAGTATGTTAAATAACATGTGTGGGTTGAAATAACATGATTATGATTCAGTAGTGTGAAATGAATAGGAACTATTTTGAGGATATTGATTTTAAATTGTAAGCCTTGTTGATGTTAGAGTCATGGAATAGGACCAAACTCGCTCGAGTTTTGTGTGGATTTGAGTTTGTGGGGTTAGGTCACCTCTAGTGAGGGAGTGACTGATGATCCCAGAGAATCGAATGACATTTTGATGTCATTGCGAAGTATCGAGAACTGTCGGTGACTTCCTTGTTTGCGGGTGCACTTCTCGAGACTGAGACTGTGAGAGTCAAGAATGAGCTTATGGAGAAGATCCAAGATGTGCAAGTACAGAGAGAGTGCTTGGGCTACGTGAAGAACCAAGATGGTGTGTCTTGGAATGAGGATGGGCTTGTGTTGTTCCTGAAGAGGATTGTGGTCCCTCGAGGTCCATTGACCGCAGAGGTCATGGCGGATGCCCATAAGGGCCAGTTCACTGTTCATTCTAGTTATACAAGGATGTACCTAGACTTAAAGAAGAGTTTCTGGTGGCCGGGTATGAAGAAGGACATAGCTGTGTATGTGTCCAAGTGTTTGATTTGCCAAAAAGTGAAGATTGAACACCAGAAGCCGCCTGGTAAGCTTCAACCTCTTGAGATTCCGGAATGAAAATGGGAGAGCATTTTCATGGACTTCGTGGTGGGTTTGTCGAAGACTCAGGTTGGTTGCGACTCTATTTGGGTCATCGTGGACAGACTGACAAAGTCTGCCCATTTTCTTCCAGTGAAGGTGAGCATCACTACAGAGCAGTTGGCCAAGCTGTATGTTCGCGAGATGGTAAGGCTTCATGGGGTGCCCGAGAGTATCATCAGTGATAGGGACCCGAAGTTCACATCTCGGTTCTGGGAGGCGCTGCAAGAGGCTTTTGGTACGCAGTTGAGATTGAGTACAACCTATCACCCTCAGACTGATGGACAGACTGAGAGGACCATCCAGTCCTTGGAGGACATGTTGCGGGCTTGCACGTTGGAGCAGGGCTCGGCATGAGATAGGTACCTTCTGTTGGGTGAGTTTTCGTAAAACAACAGTTTCCATGCTAGCCTGGGCATGGCACCATAGGAGGCATTGTATGGTATGAGGTGTCGGACTCCTACCTGCTGGTCTGAGGTTGGAGACAAGGAGCTTTTTGGCTTAGACTTTGTCCAATATACCACCCAGCAAATCCATAGGATCAAAGAGAAGCTGAAGCAGACGCAGAATCGCCAGAGGAGTTACTACGATGTCAAGCATCGTCCACTGGAGTTCAGTGAGGGTGAGCACGTGTTTGTGAGACTTTCACCTGTTACCGGAGTTGGACGAGCACTCGGAGAGAGGAAGTTGAGCCCGCGATTTATTGGGCCATACCAGATCCTTGGTAGAATAGGACCTGTTGCCTACCAGCTTGCCTTGCCTACGAACTTGGCCAACATCCACGACGTGTTTCATGTGTCTCAGCTTCGGAAGTACGTAGCGGATCCTTCGCACGTGGTGCAACCGGATGATGTGGAGGTTCAGGAGAACCTAAAGACTCCCGTCCGACCACTCAGAATTCTCGATCGTGGCGAGAAGCAGCTGCGGAACAAGACTATTCCTATGGTCAAGGTGTAGTGGACCGCAAGAACTCCTGAGGAGTGTACTTGGGAGCGAGAAGACGAGCTTCTCCGGCAGTATCCCGAGTTTCGAGACAGGTATATTCTGATTTTGATGGCAAAATCCTAAAAAGGTTGGGTGAATGTAAGAACCCGCACCGTTAGTTAAGGAAATTAATTAATTAAATATAAGAAATTAGGAAATAATTCCATAATTGACCCTAATAATTATTATGAGGCTTAATTAATTATAGTAAGTGAGTAATAACGCTGAAAGTCGCTTTTCTGACGAAAGGTGCAGATATCGGTTCTGCTAGTCGATATAAATGCGTACCGATAAAGTATCCCGGAAAATTATAATAAGTGCATGAATATTCCTAGAATAATATATAGGACTTGTAAAATGAGTTTCAAGTTAATATAATGAGAACTGATGCCAGAACTGATATTGGCTATGGAAAAGCGCGTACCGGAAAGGTACTCCGAAAAATAAAATAAAAATATGATAATTCTTGCAAAATTGAGTAGGTTAAGAATCCTAAGTTTGGGATTAAAATAATAATCGTAACAATTAACTTTAATACTGCGTGATTAACTCTTAAGTGGCTATAAATACTTTTATTTTCACAAAACCCTAGATAACTCCTTAATGCTACTTAAGTGTGGGGCTGACCAGCCTTCATTCTACTGTTCCATTGCTTCTTCTCCATGGTTGTAAGCCTTGAAGCATTCTCTCTTTGATTTTCTTCCTCTTTCTCTTGTAAACACTTGGTTGAGTGATTGATAGGGTAAAGGGTGCTTCTTGCTGGTTTGGGGTTCCTGTGAGAGGAGTTCTTGTTGCTGTTTCTGAGTTGGGTGAGTGTGTGCACCATTTGCTTGGCATTTGTGATGCCAAGGAGTCACCTTTGTGAAGAAAGAACTCACCTTGGTGTTCCATTTTCATTTTCTGTTCAAATCTGAATTTGAGGAGTTGTTAGTGAGCTTCTTAAGCCATTCTTGCTGAGTTTTAAGCTTGGGTAAGTGTTACCAACCTTTGCTCATGAGTTTAATTGGTTAAAGTTGGTGTCTTAGCATGTTTAAAGAGTTACACAAGTGAGTAATCGATGTATGAACCTGTTTATGCTTAAAAATGGATCCTTGGACATGTTTAAGTGTTAAAAGTTGAACCTTTGAAGGATATCTTCATGAAATGCAGAAGCTGCATTCTGTCGTGAAATATACGGATATTGATATCCGGATATGGGGATCGGGATATCTGGATATTGATATCCGGATATAGGCAGAGAGATATCCGGATATTGGATTTCAGGATATGTCCCCGACAAATATTCGGATATTCTGGGATTTCGAAGAACAGTAGCTGCACTGTTCATACAGTAGGCTATTGGGGGTTTGTGGACTCTAGATTGATGAAGTGGAACTTCTGTAATAATTGAACTAAGTCAGAATCTTGTGATTAAGGGCTTATGGCTTGGTGAGAAGCCTTAAGACGTAAAACGTAATGAAAAGGCGTTGTCTTTATGTTGTATGCTTATAGAGTTTGATTATTGATATATTATTGGTCCATAGTAGATTGTGATATTGCTGTGTTTGGACTTTAAGCTTATGTGGGCTTTTGACTTGGATAGCTAGCTTGCAAGGTAAGCTTTCGTGTCCTCGGTTTAGCCATTGTTGGTTCCACCATGTCCTATGGGGGTATGGTTATATGCATGATGTGTTTTCATGATATCTTGATTTGTGAAATGCTGCTAAGCTATTATACACAAGTGTCTTTATTATATGCATGTGGTGTTCCACCTATACGGTAAGCCTGAGTATGTAGTACATACAAGATGGTGAGGCTGTGGGTGAGGTGCAAGCGATGTTCCTTGTACTAACTGTAGGTAATAGACGTATTTCTGCACTTCTCTGGCCAGTAGAATAGTTATAACACACATGGCATGAATATCTGTTGCACTACATAGTTTTGGAACTTATATTGAATTACTGTTTTTAGAACTTATATTGCACTTGTAAGTGAGCTTGGGGTGGAAGATCCTTGAGGACCCCCTTCTCTTACTGAGATTTCTTGTTTAGAGATCTCACCCCACGTTTGGGGACGCTTATTTCAGGTTCAGGTAACCCAGGAGTTGAGACCTCTAGTGGTAGGAGGCCAGAGCTTAGCTGATAGATGATACATGTTTATGCTGCTTGTGCTGATATGCTGTTATGATTGGATGCTGGATCCTGTTTACTGTCTTATCCTTTTAGCTTCAGTTTATGGATTTATATGTGGAGACTTT